AAAAAGCCAGTCTTTTGTGTAGGATGGGGCCAGGTGGACATCAGCCATAAAGGAGCTTTACCTTTCCAACAGATCCGGGAGAAATTCCACACTTGCAAACCATTCTGTTTTCTGTTTGTAATGCTGCAAATCCCCTGCATTGACAAAATGCCTGGGAGAGGCATGGAGAAGCATTAACTTGAAGCCCAGACACAGTAAAATCCATGGGTCAAATTCTCTGCTTTCACGGTGTGCGGCAGGGAGCGGGTGGGGTCAAGGAGCCGGTTACAACTCCCTGATTTTCACACTGTCCACTCACTGGACTGCCACCTGGGCATGGCCAGAGCAAAGCATGCTCTGTCTCCTCCTCCTCCTCCACTCCCCACCATCTTCAGGGGGGCTGCAAGGTGTTGTAGGAGCCAGCTGGAGATTCCACCACCCGAGGACAATCCCCAGCAAGGGGGGAGGTGGCCAGTCTCTGTTCCCTTGTGTCACCTGAATGGAGCCCAAAAGAGAACCTGCCCCTGTGAGAAATCTGGCGCTCTCTGCTAAAGTCAGACGGCAAATGGAATGGAGATGGAGAAATGTATCTCTGCTGGCTGGAAACGAACCCAACATGACTTCCCTGGAAAAGAGAAACTCCCCAGCGTTTCCAATGTTCTAGGCACTGCAGCTAGACACAAACTGGGACTTGCCCCTCTCTCTTGATTATAACAATGGTTCTGTTTTTAAAAGACAGACACATTTCCCCTCCTATCCCACCACTCACTGGCCCAATGATCCCTAAACCACCCATCCTCCCGACAGACAGATCCAGCCCGCCCAGGCTTCCCACCAGACGATCCTCAAATGAACAATCCCTCCAGCCTGGGATTCCGGCAGCAATTTCCTGCTGTACAGACTGTCCTAGCCACCACCACCGCTCCGAGGCCTCAAGCAATCAGGAGAGAGCTGCACAAGCCCACACCCCTGGCTTCTATCCCAGAGGGAGGCGCTGAGGCTAGAGGGGAGCTTTTCCCACATTCATTCAGTGCATTGATGGGGTTTCCCCTCCGTCAGAAACTGATCCCTCTGCATTTCCCAGAACAACTTGCACTGTGAGTAGATCTGCCCCTCTCTTTTCCAGGTGGCTTTTCCAGTGCCTGTTTTCCACAGCTAGACCCCGGGGAAACCTTCTCTTTGGATCTTCCTGCTCAATCCAACACGATCTGATTCCCGCAGGCCCCCCGTGGCCAGGATTCTCTTCCTCGCTTTCACTCACCATCCCATCTTCCGCTGTAACAGGAAGAGACTTCAGCCGTAATGAATCCCCTTGCTGCAGGGAAAGGTAGTGTGGAAGGAGGAACAACAAAGGGCCTGTTCTTGGCTGTTTATAAGGCTTTCGACCCAGAGGATGCTGCTCTAGGTTTCAGAATCCCCAGCTGAATGTTCACAGAAGAGGTGAATCAGAGGAGAGTATCCGGCCAGAAATCAGTCAGTACTGGGGGAAGCCAGGAGTGACGTCTTCCATGAGCACATGGCGATTGCCAGTTGCAGCACCAGACAAGAGACCCAGTGGGCAGCAGCAGGAGGTAGCTGTTTCACTCTCCCCTTCCACCTCACGTGCCTATCCCATGCACAGGCCGCCATGAGAATCCTCCACCCCCATGCATGTTTCCCGTGGGAGAGGCTCACCAAGCACATTCCCCTCAGACGTTGTTCTCCCCCTTTTCCATGAACACCCTGTGGGAGACAGCCCCACCTGCTTTCCCCTTGTGAGAGAAGGGGACCCACATGCATGTTTTTCCCCTCCCAGAGAAATGATTCCCCCCCCAAAACATTCACTCTGCTGTGCCTTCCCCATGAAGCACCTACACCTCTTATACACTCCCCCAGACAAGATGCTGAGTCGCAAAGGCATTGCCCTTTATGATTCACCTGCTCCATCTGAGCATCTCATAAATCTATCCCCACACCACACAATCCGATGTGCCAGGGTGTCCCTGAGGCACCCACCTCTTTATGCATGCTCCCCCCATGCCATGCCTGGTCTGACATGCCTGTGTCAGTACACAAAGCCCTTCATATAATGCATAGCCCCTCCATTAAATGCATGCGCCAATGCCCTCTCTCCCATGAGATATCTGCTCCCATACACTCACTCCACCCATGGTGGCTTATGCAACGCTCATCCCCAAATGTAACCTTCCCCTATAATAAACTCACCCGCCTGTGCATACTCTTTTGTTGGACACCTGCTTCCCCTACCCAGGCTTCCCCTATGGGATGTCTGCCCTGTATACACACTCTCCCATTAGATATCTGCCCCCACGTGCACTCCTGTATGAATGTTACAGCATGGAACAACCACTGCTGTATGTGCTTTGCATTCTGGAAACTCTCTCTCCCTACACAGGCTTTCTTCCATGCTAACGAAGTCTGGAAACATACATATTCTAGATTGATGCTCTTTGGGGGCAGAGGGTGCTTGTACAGTACCTCGCACAATTGGGTCCTGCTCCATGACTGGGGCTCCCAGGAAGAAGCTTTAAGCAACACACCACCCCGGCCATAGTAGAGAGCCTGGCGCACTGGACCTGGTGCAAGATCTAAGGCCTGAACCAGACACTGTGAACCAAAATCAGGCCATATATTAAAGCAGATGCTCACAAGTTCACTGCCCAGTACAGGAACTTGGCAAAGCTGTTGCTAGTGTACTAGGCACTAGATATTTACGTACATCGATTTCAAGGCAAGCACAGATACACCCCCAATCTGGTACAAGATAAGATGGTTTGACAAAACAATGAATAGGGATGTTTTGCCCAAGATATCAGGAACAAGAGGTGGTAACAAACAGATGTCATGAAATACGTAAGGTGGTGTATGTTAGTTGTTTGCTTTAGCCTATAAATGTTGGGGTACTTCACCTTCTTAATTCTTTGTTCGGCCGAGGGGGCAGCAGAAAGTCCCACCGTGAACTGAACTGTTCCTTGCCCCAGGGCACTCATGTGTTAGCATATCTGTAACCACGGAGCCATGGCGGTAGAACTGTGTCTTGACGGCAATAAACCTTGCTGAGTGCCTTTGTCACTGAACCATGCCCGTGGGTCTTCTTTATGAGAAACAGCGAGGTCCGCTGAATGTGCGGGCCGCCTTATCTGCTCCAAGAACAGAAGCACTGGACTGCCTGAATGGCATTACTCAGGCAACGACAGTCCAGCCTCAGCACTTAACCACACAGGGTAGTACTACCGAGGTCTGCTGAACCAGCTGTCTGCATAGAGCTGGACAGTACGCTGAAAGAACACAGACCCGCAAGCCAACTGGCAACACCGGCTATTTGAAGGAGAAAGTGCTTGCTGAGGAGAGAGCACATCTAAAATCAATACAATCACCCACTATCTTTGCTTTGAGAGAGGTCATCATTAAATATATTATTTGTTGCTATTTTCTTCTCTATCTGCTTAACTGCAGCAGGATCATGCATAGCTTTCAAACAATGGCAATTTTTTAAATATTTGGAGGTTGGGTAAGAAGATGATCACAAATGGTCTCTTCGGGCTTTATAATTATGAATCTTATAGTCTATTAACATTTTAAGTAAAATTTTCATAAGAGCCTTAGTCCCACTGAAAATCAATGAGATGTAGATGCCTTTAGTCTAAGTCTTGATGACCTTCCTGTTTGAGGTTGATATAATCTTGCTTCCCAGAATCTCATCTTTTTTTTTCCAGTCTCCACTGTAATGGTTGCAAAGAAATCATTGACAACCTGACTAGAAAGAAGCTGATGTAGCGATGTCTGGCTGAGTTTGCAGAGAGACTGAAACAATTGCTCTGGGTAGGGCGCACCATTCTATTCATCCCTCAGCAAGGGATTGGGGTTTAACATTGAGGTCCAAATATGTTAATTTGTCAACATAGGTAACGGCTGATCAAAGTACGTAAAAAAGCAGCAGGATAAACACATGCACGGTCTATGGTGAGCAGCCTCTCATTTAGGTGCCCCAAACAGGTGATGCTTATGAAGTTACCAACACTTTCCCCACAGTCTAGCCTGTGGAGCCAAAAGGGAGGAGCAGGGAAAAAGAGAATAGCAGAACCCTTCCCCAGAGGGAGCTAATTTCAGAGCCCAGGATTGAATCTGAACCCCAAGAAGGGAAAGCCAATCCCAGCAGAGCACATATGAATATGAACATCTTTGGAACATCTGTACAGTCAACTACCTCACTTTGGTGTCTCAACTGGGCAGAGTTTGGCTTGCAGTTTGAGTTTGGAAGTACCACTGCTTTTTTTGCCCCAGTTCAAGCCCGGTCTTGCAGGTTCCCATTCTGAAGTCAGCCTTCTTTTGGCCCATGAGCCCTCACTTCACTTGTATGCTGGACAAGGTTCTTGCTGAAAGCTTGAGCTCACTGTCTCAAGGAGGAAGCTGGAGGTACAATCTTCTAAGAAGCAGGCCCAGGCCTCTGCCATTGATTTCTTATAGGCGTATAGACTAGGCAGGGACTGCGTTGCGTTTAGGATTATATTTTTAATTTAGACACGGCTCTGAGCAGAATATCACAAGACACTGCACCAGCCCAGAAGTAGCTTCAGGATACACTGTGAGTGAGGTTAACCTGAGTCACATTTCCTCCCCTCCTTCCACATGCCCCATTGGGGAAGGGGGTTAGGCAGCAGCAGCAAATTACAATAGTCCTTGTGCTAAATGATTTCCTGAATAATGGGCCAGATTGAAAACTGCAGGCAGTAAGAAAGCAAAGCGTATGCCCTCTCTCAATGTAATCCTGTAAAAGACACTCCAAGACCAAGGTGACAAATGCCCTATATTTCTTATAACAATAACACTAAAAGATCTGCATATGCATTAGTCCCAACAGTAGCCAATGGTATAGTTTGCTATGCCATCTATATCTTGCTCTTTCTTCAGATGTGTACAATGGTCTCTATAAATAAGATCACCCCCTTTTTTGTTGTACAATTTTTATTGTATAAAATCTAATGACCGGATCAAATAATCTTTATTTAAACACTGACCACTAAAGTATTGAAACAATTTAATGTTATAGTTTATTTCCTGTAATTTACAAGTGAGCATGCACTAATAATAATAATAATGATAATAAAAAAATCTACAGTTGAGGTTTGCAATTCACATTTCATTGCCAAAAAACAGGCCTTGAAATTCCAAAGCACAAGAATTTTCTAGCACTAGTACAGAAAGCTCTCACTCTAAAGCTAGAGAATACACCACACTGACAATTCAAATAGCATATCTTCTGCATACTAAATTCTTTGACACACATGGGCTCCCCAAAAGCAGATTACTGGACAATTCAGTTCTTCTGTTCCTTACTCCTGGGGTCTACTCTCCTCTATATACATGCATTTTAGCTCCCATTAATGTCCTGTGAATACCAGGTAATTAGATTATATGTTCATTTTAAACGTTCAGAGGCACTGAACCAAATTAATCTCTTGTTTGAGTCACCGATGTCAAGGGAATCAAAATGAATATGGTCCAGATTACTTGTTAGATTTTTCAGGTCTGCTGCATCTTTTTACGCATCTCTTCCAGTGCTGCTGCTCGTTCTGTTAATAGCCGTTTCAGTCGTTTTATTTTTTCATCCCTGATTGTTTCATCCAAGTCCGGTGGAGTCAAAGGGAAAGCATCGTCTCGAAAGGAACTTTCATTAGTCGAAACATCATCTTCGGAAGAAACTAAATCTGAACAGCATGTGTCTTGAACTTGGTTAGCTTGAACACATGGGTCTTGCTCAGAGTTCCTCCCTAGAGACGATCCGATAGAGCCTGTGGAATTTTTCTGCTGTGATAAGACTGGTGTGGATGAAATACGCTTGTTAAGTATTACAGAACTGGTGCTGTTGTTTTCCACGCTTGGATTTATGGCTGATTTGACCATCATTTTCCTTCTCTTTCCATTTTCTGGCATTGGTGAGAGTTTTGCTTTTCTTTTTTTAGTCAAATCCTGTTCCAGGTCCACAATTATCTGTATATCAAGAAAAACAAAAAAACATATTTACACTAAATTGCATAGCATTTCAATGTTTTATCATCAAGGTAAATTAAGCACATACTAGAACAACTATTTGTTGTAGTTATCTGAGGTTACTGTGCTGAAATAATTTATTAAACGGTTTGATGCAATATGCTCCAAGGTTAAGGTTACCCTTAAGTAAATAAATATTAAAAAGTATGTAAACCTGCAGAATCCTAATTCTGTCCCCACACCAACACCAACAGAACAAGAGGAAACCAAGAGCTGATCCTATCTTCCAACAATGCACACCAACAACTGTGAAAATTGACAAGCCATCTAACTGAACTACATCACTGTTGTTGACTGACTGATTGTTACTTGCAGCAGTTGAAAAGAACCAGGTTATTTTTGCATCCTTGCCATAAATTACTACTGTAAGAACACACATAGGGCTTGTTTACATTTAAAATGCTAAAGTGGCAGTGCTGCTGTAGCACTTCATGTAGACACTACCTGCGCTGACGGGAGAGATTCACCCATTGGTGTAGCAATCCACCTCCCTGAGAGATCATAGCTAGGCTGGCGGAAAAATTCTTTTGTGGATCTAGCGCTGTCTACGCGGGGACTTAGGTTGGCTTAATTATGCTGCTCAGGGGTGTGAATTCACACCCCTGATCAATGCAGCTAAAGCAACCTAATTTTCTAGTGTAGACCAGGCATAAGTCACCAGTTTTTACATTTCCTCAACTGAAGCGACCACAAACAGGACAAACTATGCAGGGTTTAAAATATTCAAGTGTTGTCTTACTGCGACACTTAGCATACACATGTAGCTACTGCATTTGAAACAATTCTTAGAACTACATTAAATTAGTTTAAACTATATAAAATATTGAAAGACAACTGTACAGTGTGCAGCTTTCCTCTCCACTTCTGTTCTAATGTTATTTAAAATTCACTGTTGCTCCTGTGTGTCATTCACTGCTCATCATCCAATATTCGTACCTGAATGGGGAAGGGGTCCTGTGAAATTAATGGTTTGTAATCACATCATTGAAGACTGTATTATAAGGAAGACTCACAAGGGGACAGAGTTCAGGTTTCATGGGTAAACTCGGCTTTGGTGTCTCCTGGATTTCAAGTGCTTCACTGTGATACCTTAATACATTTTTAATGGGATTTCCTATATTTTTTTGAAGAAAGAAAACCCTCCCCAAGCTTCTACTTCCACTGGAGTCAATGGCAAAACTTCCATGGTCCACGATTAAGGACCTCAATGCACATCTTAAGTTATCTATGGAGCTTCGTCAAATGGGTGTGAATAGGCCCACTTATGGACATTTTAACAATTGGGATAAAGCTTTCAGCATCAATGAAAGAAGCAACCAGAATAGTCCTCCCAAATCCAGGGAGAATATATTATTAAATCATCCTGTTGACCTATTCCCGGTAAACCATGATATAAACATACCGACCAAGGTTTCAGCAACTAGATCAGGGGGGAAGGGGGGACAAACCTTTTGGCCTGAGGGCCACATCAGGATTCCGAAACTGTATGGAGGGCTGGGTGTAGTGTATTAAATTGCTCCCCATAGGAATGTGCTACTTACGGTGTACTACTTACGTCTGCCAGTGCTGGTGCTCCGTAAGTAGCACATTCCTACGGGGACCAATTTAATACACTACACCCGGCGGCTCTCGCAGCCCCGCCGCCCAGAGCGCTGATGGCACAGCGAGCTGAGGCTGCGGGGGAGGGGCTGGGGGCGAGCCCCCCCAGCCGGGAGCTCAAGGGCTGGGCAGGACAGTCCCACGGGCCGGATGTGGCCTGCGGGCTGTAGTTTGCCCACCTGTGAACTAGATTAAATACATTATGACATTATATATATTACACACACACACGACAGGCTTCCTCCAAGACAAGACATCTAACAACGTTGGATGTGTGTTGGGAGCTACTTACTCTGCCTAATCAAAGGAAAATTCTTGGCTATCACAGAGATGCCAGCCTTGCTCTGAGACTTTTAAAGATGTTTATGAAAAAAATGAGGGAGGTTGCATGGACCTCTCTCTTCCCCCTCCCCTCCTTTATGGCCAACGAGGAGGCTCCCCCCATTGCACTCGTGTTCCCCATTCCCAAACAAAAAGAAGGGGAGGATCGACCCTAGGAAAGCTGCCCTCCTATCCTGCCTAGGGTCCTTAATTATCTTGGCCAGTCCTGGGCCCAGACCTCCCTGGGCAATGGAGAAGAATGCCCCCTGTGGCTGCAGCTCTAATTGCTGTGTTCAAACCTGAGTGGTGGTGACTAAGTCTCTATCTCTCTCTTTCACACACACACTTATATATGTAAAATGTGCAGGCTTGAAAAATCAGTAGATTGAAGCCTGAATTAGTAATTTAATAATTACATTAAAAAATCCACATGATTACTGAAAATTAGGGAGAGCTGGCATCTGATATTATTAGTATTATATCATGAGAAAGCTTTTGATTGGGTAGAGTGGAACTATTTGGTGTCAGACTTTGAACAATGTGGAGTTGGATACTGCCTTCTTAGATGGATAAAAGGACTCTTACTTCTATGAATCTTAATGTATTGTAGAATTATCAATCAAAATTACTGTACCACTGCAATTATTTCTCAGAAGAAATAAGAATGCCAGAACAACAGGGAAAAGCCAACAAAGCACTAGTTTTCAAAAGGCAAAGTAGTAGCAACTACTACTCCATAGATCTAATTCCTATCCTTAATAAAATAATGGAACAAATACTGACGGGGAAGTTGGTATTAATGAAAGGTGACAGAAGCAAGAGCAAAAAGCAGAACGAGTTTATAAAGAACAGATCTTTCCAGACAAATCTCATTGCTTTTTGTTCTTGTTTTTTAACTAGATGTACAAAATAAGTGACTGAAGGGACAAAGTAGATACATCACATCTGGATTTCAGTCAAGCAGTTTCTGAAGAATTTAAGCATTCATTTAAAATTAAGTTTCTAGCTCTTGTGGTTGCGAAGATATTGTCCTATATGTGAGGAACACAGCCTGATCTTCCCTAATCTGCAGATTGTGTGATGCTTTAGCAAAAGGGGCTAACATGATAATTGGGGGTACAGACAGAGGAACAGCAAGAAGGAGGAGGGAGATGTATATGGCATTGGTAAGGCAACTACTGGAATAGCGTGTCTAGTTCATGGACTCACACTTTAAAAAAAGGAAGTTGAAAACTGGAGAGGATTCACAGAAGAGCAGCAGAATAATGAGAGATGTGGAAAATATGCCTTACAATGACAGACTAAAATAAGCTCAATATATTTTTCTTATTGATGGAAAGGTTAAGAAGCAACTTGATCAGGGTCTACAGTTACCCACACAGGGAGAAAATATTTGATGTTAGAGGGCTCTTTAATCTAGCAAAGGCTTAAAATGATCCAGTTGATGGAAGCTGAAGTCAACAAAGTTCAGACTGGAAACAAGATGCAAATTTTGAACAGTGAGTGTAATTAAACACTGAAACAGATTACCAAGGAATATGGTAAATTCTCCATCACTTGAAATGTTTACATCAAGACCAGAGATAAAACAGTCAAAAGCGCCTACGTGACTTAGAAGCCTAAGTCCTGTTTAATTCAAGTGAAACTAAGGGGCAGATGTACAAAGGAAATGAAGTGCCTAGAGATACAGAAGGTGTCTAATGAGATTTGTAAAAGAGCCTATGGTTAGGTGCCTGACTCCTATCAAAATTAAGCCTTGTCAGCTTATTGGCTGAGCTGTCAGAAGACACGTGAGGCCTTGACTAACCTCGGTTCTACTCTGCCCAGTGGTAAAGCCTCTCAAGAGTCTGTGGCTCTTTATGCTCCTTTGTTTCAGAGCTGTAACACCACTCACGTGGCTTCAGACATGGTTTTTGTTTGAATGAGCAATCAACACATGCCTGCTTTCCTTATAGCCTTGGCAATAAGCAACAATCCTCCTGGTAAAGGCACATGTATTTGGATGTCAGACCAAAAGGCAAGGATTTGAACTGGAGTGAAGTGAGCTGCCCTGAGAACAAACTCCTGATGCATGTGGGCACTGGACACATTGGGCATCCTTGAGATCAGCTAAGGCAAAGAAATCCTCTTAGTCCCTAGCTGCCAGGACAGAGTGGAGAGAGAAACTCCATCTTGAACTTCTGGAAATGGCTGAATGTTCACAAAATGTATCCAAGAGCGGTCTGACTGCTCTGGATTTTGGGGAGAAAGGGAGACCATAATTTAAACTGAGTTGACTCTTTATAGCAACTGGCCTGATGGGAACAGAAAAGAGGCTCCAACACTGATTAGATGATGCAACCTGTTGATGATATGATTTCTTCGATGAGGGATCATGAATGTGAGAAGAGAAAACAGTTGTCAAAGGAAAAAGGGTGGGAAGAAGGAGGGCTGGAATTCTGAGATATTTCCGTCTCCACAAGACAAGAAACACTTATCTAACAGGATTGTGGGCTAACCCTCAAGGAGAGAGACAATTTTCTCACTTAGCCCAGCACCACTGACACCCTACCTACTAAGGAGAGGAGTCTCTTGATTCCAGCTGGATATTCCCCATCCCTGAAAGAACTAGACTTCACTACTGGTCTGCAAGACAAAATATGCTGGTATCTGGGTTTATTGTACTTAATGTGAGACTTCTGGATGTAAACATGTTGTTCTATTCTTTAAAAACAAGGACAATGAATGCATATGTCAAGAATCTGAATGAATGATTTCTTCTCTAAGACCTCACTCAGGGTCAAGTCCGTGAGGTCAAAGAACTTAAAAAAATAACACTAGATTCTTTGAAGATCAGGGCCAGGATACTCAGTCTTGACGAGAAGACTCTTCCTCAGAGGGAATACACGTTCTGACAGCTGTATGACATGGCCTGTTGTAGGCCACTGTTGAAGGTCATCCTGTTCCATGCCAACTTGAGGAGACAAGCAAATGTCTTGTCTGATTTAAGACTTCTGTTAGGTACTGAATGGCTACTCTGGATCATAGGAGACAGAGACCGCAGTAAGCACTCGAGTGGATGCTATGATGATGGCTATTTGAGGGAGAGTTTTACAAGCAAATAATTTCCTCCCACCTCCAGATTTTCACAGACTAAGTTAAAAAATGCCATAAAACTCGTCAAGATAACAGCTCTGCCTGAAGTTCTAGCTGCTTCTTTGACGAGGTTAGTAACAAAAGAGGAACCACCGATGGAGGCTGTGAGAGGTGGTTTGAAGGAATCTGGGAGAAAAGAAGCGTTTTTAGTGAACTGAGTGCCATCTGCATGACAGATGAGTGGCAACCAACTGCCTGTACTTGTGGTAGCTACAGTCTGGAACTAGTGCTGAATCGCTAAGTATGCTATTTCCTCTCCCCTTTCCTTCACATTAATTTCACTTGTGTTAAATTGTAATTTAATTAGCAGTGAAATTCTACTTCTAAAAGTGTAAGCATAGGCTATTGGAGGGTACACATCAAAATACATAAACACTGAGATACCTTTTCCTCTTCACCATGGTCCTGCTGCTTAGCTATTATCGCCGTTTCTTGTGGTAATGCACTCCAAGAATCATTATTCTTTTTAAAGTTATTCCTGGAGCACACACTTGCTTCTGATCCTGCAGGAGGAGTTCCAAAGGGAATTCTATTAAGGTATACTCTCTCCTCTTTAAAGAGACCGAATTTCTTTCTTAATTCCAGGTATTGTTTCCCATGGGGTTCTCTTTTGTGTTTGAGTTCAGTGGCCTTTTCTGATGAGCACACCTTTTCATTTTGAATCTGAAATAATAAGAATACAGTATATAAACAGTGATGCAGCCACTCATCAACACACCTGTGATCATTAAAACATTGACATTCTGGTAAAAAAGTGTTCATTAAACTTTAGATATTGGCTTACTTGGAGAAATTATAATATTATAATATGATCATTTGCCTTTTCATTGCCATGTTCATTTATTTATTTTAAAACAGCATATAAATTCAAGTTATCAAGTCCTGCTAGTATACTAACAAAGTGCTATGAGAGGCAAAGGTAGCCACTTATCCTAAGGTCCCAGAATTACCAAGGAACAGATGATTAATAGGAAATATTTATCACAACAAGATTCTCCTGGATCACAGTGTGTTTGCTGGTGCCTACATTTCAAAGATGACTGATAATTCTAGAAGTTTGGTATTAACAGTCCTCTGTGCATAATTTTGTTGTAACCTGATGCCACTCTTAACCATCAGGGCCTGTCACACAACAAACACCTGTTTGAGCATGCACATGTGGGAGGAGAGAGGAAGAGAGGAAGCAAAACATCTGACACTATCTGGTCTCCACAAAGGCCTCAGGAACTGAGAAAGCTCTGACATAAGGGTATCACAAAGCAGACGACAGAAATAAATTCAGTCCCATTTTGGGTGCAGAGGTACATAATGAACTAAAAAACCCAAAACCAAACCCATAATTTGTAGCAGTGATTTAAAATACGTATAAAATGATAAGAAGTGTGCCTGGCTCATGTGAATGGTTGGGCTGGCAGAGGGGAGGCACGGGCCAAAATGGGACTAGAAACAAAGAAATGAAATAATATTTTAAAATAATGAATTTCTCATCTAGAGATCCTCAGCTTTTCTTAGTCTGCAACCACAAAATGGCCAAATACTCTGACTTGCCACTCACTGTATCCTACAATCCTTTGTGGGTACAGAAGATTGTGGGATTTGGGTCATGGTATTATTTTTTTGTGGGTTAAGGCTAAAAAAAAGTGTCTAGTGGCTGGGAAGGGTTGTTGCCAGTAAAATTGCTACTCTGTCTCCCTCAAAGTTTCTTTCTGCCTCACCCCACCCCACCGCCCAAAGGGAGTGGATCTCTCCCCCTCAGAGCACAACATTTACATATCTGGATTGGATCCCTCCCCAGCTTGGCATAGCATGTGGGGACCAAGCACCTCCTTTTTCCCCACAATGCATTTGGCAAGAAGGAAACAACTCTTGCCTCTAGTTCTCCCTGCTGGCTGATCCTGGAACTGCTCCATGCTGCTAAGCAGAGTTCTTATCTCCACTCAACTAATCAAGAGCCCTGCAACAGAGGGAAATGCTGAGGGCTACAACACTCCCAGGCTGGGGAATAGCCTCATGTTCCCTCCTTTGCTTCTCCTGAAACCCCTTGCAACTTCCTGAGAGTCACAATCCACAAGCTAGAAAACCCTGCAATAAACAGTTAAGAACAAAACCCAGGGCTGTACTACCCAGTTGCCTGTCCCAAAGGGGACAGGTATGATTGGCGTCACATTGCATTGTTCTCTCCTCGTCCTCGGATGCTGTTCTTTTGAATGAGGGACTTAGTGGGACTGTGATGACATAAATAACTTAGCCAAGTATCATACAGCAAATATGACTTTAGTTTAGTATGGTAGCATGTCCCAGGATGACATGGTAATTGCTACTCGGCATCGTCCTGTTATCTTCTCTTCTGTCCTTGCTTCAAAACCCTTTCCTTCTCTCCCCATACCTGATCCATTCTCCTGTCAACGGCTTATTGCTATGTAGGAAGACTGTGACTTCCTCTACCAAAGCATATGGAGATAAGTATAATTTCACCACAGGGCTAGAGAATCAAAGGTTCCCCTACATTTTCATTTTCTATCCTCACGGATTGATTCCAGGAAAAACACTACCAACTCTCACCATATGCACCTGAAGGACATGCTCCACCTGGAGAAGCTTAAAACAGGTGAAGTTTGCTACTGCAAGCAGGGGCGGGAGGGGAGGGAGGTTTGCCCAGGAGCAGACGCTGCATCCTGGGTGCAATGAAAACATGTACAAACCTCACCCCAGCAACCTAAGCTACCCACATGAAGAGGGGATGACCTCAGCGAGGCATGGGGCCACGCTCAGATGAGGTATCACCTGAATAACCACCTGGTGAGGCAAAAAACTGGGCTGGAGCCCTTGACCTCAGACACAGGTCCCATAGTTTAAACCCACTCCCCACCAGAAAGGAACCGCAGGGAAGAGCTCGATAATCTGCTGCTCCCAGGGAAAACAGGGGAATATGAAAAAAGAACGCCCTTGGATGGAATGAGACTACACAGAGGGATGGACAAAAGAGGGGGCCTGTAGGAGGACTCCCCCCAGTTGATGGTCACAGGATGGGTCCAAGGGAAGGCGGTCTGTACCCCTATGTTCACCCCTTTTACAAGACTATGATACATTTTGTACAAAGCATACTGTGTAAGGTATCATTTGAAAACTCATGATTTGCTGATCATTATTGTCCTGGTAAAGTATGTGTGGCAACGCTATATGTAAAGATACAAGATTCCACCATATGATTTTGCCCAGGCCTTGTTCCAGCATGTTCTGGAAGGCAGTCACAAACAAGTTCCTGGCCACACAGACTTTCTGTCCCCTGAACATCAGTGGGAGATGATTCTTGAGCAAGAGAAAGGGCTACAAGAGGGCAGCGCCCCAAATCGTCTCTCCCTTGGTCGCTGCCCACGGCATCATCAACCCCCGAAGAACAAAGGAAGCCGCACTGGACTGGGGGAAGGAGGGAAGGGGAGATCCTGACTTAAAGAGGTTCAGCCAGTCCCTACATCCCTACAGGAAGCCTGCCCCACAGCTAACCCATCTAAGTGTAAGTTGGCTGTGACAGAAGTAACTTATTTTAGGGTATCAGATAAGAGGAGACATTGTGAAACCTGTATTAGACAAAGTCCATGAATAAACTCATGCCCCACGCTACAGACGAGTAGAGATACACGGCGCTTTCTGGGCCTGATGGGATACTATCACCTCAACTCTGCATCAATCACAGCTCCCCATACCCATCTGCTAAAAGGCAAAGACACTAATGCCTGGTGGGTTGAAACCTTGAATACTCTGAAGATGCGACCAAGCCAGGCGCTGGTCCTTGCCAACCCAGACTTCCCCCGGGAGTTTATTTTCTATACAGATGCTTCCGATGTTTGCCTGAGAACGGCACTCTCCCAGGACTCTCCCAGAAGCATACCCAATCTCATATTTAGGCAGGAAATTGTTCCCCAGGGAGAGACTGAATTATTGAGAAGGAAGCTGTGGCTATCAAATGGGCTGCGTACTTCCTCACGTATTACCTGTTGGGTAGTCCCTTTTCTCTAGTCACAGACCATGTCTAGTCACAGCCGTTGCAGTGGCTACCCTCCATGAAGGACTCAACCTCCCAGATTATGCATTGGTATCTAGCACTCCAGCCCTATAGCTTCAGAGTGCAGCACCAAGCAAGGAAAGAGCATGCAAATGCATTTTTTTTCCAGGGAGATGGGACTGGGGAGACTCTTAAGCAAGAAACCTTTCTGGACTTGAAGAGGGGTGGTATGTGATGGGTTACGCCCCCATCCCACTGATGGAAAGGCAGAGCATTCCTACACTCAGGCAGTGCCCATAAGGTATACCCACAGAACATGCTCCATCAGGAAAAGGGGAGCTTAAAAAAGTGACGCTCGTTACTGCGGGGGGAGGAGGGAGTTTGCCCAGGAGGAAAGGCTGCTGGGGACTGGCAGTGAGCTTCAGTAGCAAGGGGAGCCCAGGCCAGGGTAGTGGCTGCCCTTTCCTTTACCCCACACCCCTCTTCTTTGGGGGAAGATTGACACTGGAAGCCTGATATGGGCAAGAGGCCTTTGAAGGCTGCTCTCAGCCAATAACCGGTGGCAAGACCTGGGGAAAGTCAGCATGGACTAGAGATATTTGGACTCAAAAGAGATCCTGGGAGTGAACTGAACTCCTGCCAGAAGTGGTGAAATTGCCTGGGGGGGGGGGCTCCCATAGGGAACCCAGGGGCAAGAAACTATGGCAGAGCTCAGGCTGAGGGTCAGCCAACTACACCCTATGAAAAAGGATATCAGACTATTTTTGGGGTTTATTTTTTGTGTGCATGTTTTTTATATTAAAGTCCTCACTTCTGCTTATGCACTGTGACTTTTTAACCTTACTTTTTACTAAGCTCTTAGGGGAAGAAACTATCAAAGAAAGTCAACCACTGGCCTCTCTACTTGTGTCTTCCTCCCCTCCAGTTGGATATCGTCAGAGGTAAGTCTATGGTTGCCTGGCATCCACTTTTGCACCTGGTAGCCCAGTCCCCTTGGACTTCCAAGGCTTCAGCTGGTTTGCACAAATACCGTTATCTCACACTGCAGTGACTCTGCTGGTTCAGTCTCTGTCTCTTGCAAAGTGAGCACAAAGCAGTTTCAAATAAGCATTCCCCTCTTTGCCAAATGCCCAGAAGAGGCTGGGACTTGGCTGATAGGAAAACAGACTGATGGGACAGGACTCGCTCTTCCTTCCGGAAGGAGAGCGCCTCCTCGGTTCCATCGGAAAGGGAGCACAGCTTGGAATGAGGGGTATGGTTCAGTAGGAGTTTTTAGTTAGTTTGTTCCAGATTAAAAAAGGCAATCATTGGCTAACACGGAAGTAAGCTTCCCTTTCTTTCCTCTTCTCACATTTGTTCATTTGCATAATACAATCTTACTGATTAAAACCTTATTGCTTTTCTTTTTGGTTAATTAAGAAACATTTGGGGGGCGGGGCAGCATGCTTGTTTAGAGAAAAAAGTGATTTGAATGACACTGGCTTCAGTCACATAGAATCAGGATGTAGACGTAATTTGGTACAGATAAACGTGGGCACATTTTGCTGTTGACAGTTACCTTTTGTTCTTCTTCACTGAAAGCATAATGTTGTTTTGACTGAGGAGTAACAGCAGTTGCTGCTTTGGGGGAATGACTCTTCTCTTTGCTGTTACAATGCAT